GGTAGTAAACAGGAAGTGAAACTTGCTAACTAGCAGAGGCTAATCATCTCGGGACAATGTAGTGATTTTTTTCGTGAATGCCTTGCTATTGAGCAAGTTGTAATTATTCTATCTATTCTGCTAGTACAGGCTATGTTTAATGCTGCCAGGAGACGTAGGGAAATAAACGTAATGTTAAACTACGCAGCAGAAAGACACGTGCAACTACGCAGGGCTCCATACACATGGGAGAGACGACGTAATAAATATTTCTGGGAGGTAATAGTGGACCAACATTTCACAGCTATGGTTGCAACATTTCAGAATGTCGAAGACGACTTTTCAGCTGTTGTGCAACTTAATCGGTCCATAAATCCAGAAACAGCTGAACGTCACGTGAGGTAAATATGCACTACGTCAGAATTTATTCAGCAAACGTGTTTCCATCTCCCGTTTTGCGCATTAACTACTTTGCGAATCATCCAAAAACCACCTCAAGTGAGCGTAAAAACTTTTTAGARAATTGAGGATTTTTTTTTCAAATTTTGCTGTTTCCATCTGACTTTTTTTYGCATTTTTAATGCGACACTTCTAAACGCGCATCAAAAAGCCTTGATGGAAACACAGTTAATAAGCCATAAAACAGGACACTGAACAGCAGCGAGGAAAACTTTTTTACACAACGGTTTTATGTTGATGTTTTAACATTAATCAGAAGACGTGTTTGAGAGAAGCTGTACCTTGTTCAAGTCTGAACAAAGTTCTTTCCAGACTTTCCTTGTTGTTCAGCATAAGGACTCTGATTTGCTTCAGGTGCTGAGGCAGCATTATGTGGTTCTGCTCAAAGTGAACAGGGTCGTGGTCTCCTGTCAGAGGACAAAAACACAAGTTCAGTCCCTGAAAGATGGAGCTAAACACAAGCTATTTATTGAAATGAAGAAAGAAATAATATGCACGCCAGGTTTGGATGAGTGAACGTGAACCTGTTTAATTAAGACCAAATAACTGTAAGAAATATTTTGTGTTCGTTAACTGAAATCGTGACAAAACCACATAATATTGAATAGATTAAAATGTGACAATAATATGGACCATACAACCCAGATCTGGTAGGAGTGGAGCTTTATTGCTTGAGCTGAAGCATTCGGAGCAACGCTGGCTACAAGCCGGCCTTCCGGTCCTTGTATACAGAGTCTTCAGTGCCTGGTGCGCCCCCTGCAGGCCTACGGCTGCATTGCAGACCACTCGAACAAACAATGCCTTCCCTTATAAATTAATAACGGTCTTTCAATGTGTTGATGATGTTTCGGGCATGTACCTAAACTATTTTAATCAGAAGTTAACAATAGTTACACAATGGATTATAAAAGTTAATACTTAAAAGGAAAACTAAGAAAATGGTGTAGCCACTGTGGCAGAGAAACATGTAGTGTTTGCACCAAACCAACACAACTGTGCACTAGCCTTAGGCTGTGTAGCAAAACTTAAGTCTAATGACATTTCTGCACGTGAAAACAGGAATTTAAAGATTAGTTATGAGAGTGCCACCAGAGCAAAACAATAAAAATCAATATTTTATAAAGTGAAGGAAGTGGTTTTAAAACATGTTTTCATGTTTTTATAGAATTTATGTTGCATTGTTTTAAATTTCTAAATCAGGGCTTCTTAACCTTTTTGACCTTGGGCCACAATTTGTTGAACATAAAGTGACACGAGGCCCAGTCAGACATTACCAATATATGGATCAAAATGATAATTATTCTAAATCTTGGTTTAATTTTTATTGTATTTCCATCATAACTAAACTATCATAACTAACATAACTAAATTAAATACACTTACAGATTAAAAGTAAAACTCCTGTCAAATAATCACAAGACATGATTATGACAAACGTTGGAACGTTGGTTTGAGAGAGGAGTAAAAGAAGCCATTTTTGTGAAGAAAGACCGTCCATCATTAAACAGAGGTGG